CACTTACATTTTGTCATGGTACTTCTCTGAATGGCTTCAAAAGAACACACAAACAAAAAATTTGTACTCGTGTCATACAAGACAAAGTTGACATGAATATTCAAGAAAAGAAACTCTTGCTGTTTGCCATCAAACTTTAACAAGACTGACCCCTCTTTCCCCTCTATCAAAACCATTAGGGCATTATCCATCTACTAGAGAATCATTTCTGAAAAGAACTCAAAGGAGCAGAAGACTGATCTATCGGCTGCCCGATAGGAGCAGCTTTGCAACGTTTGATGCCTGTCCTTCCTGCGCCTTTAACCCCTCCCTGCCTCAGTTCTCCGCAGCACATCACCCCCACAGCACCGCCTCGCTTCATAGGGGTGCTCTGAAGACAAATCCATTAAGGACTGCAAGCTTCAGGGGTCAGCGGAGCTATTCTGAACTTAATTATTAAATCAATTATTTTGCCAAGTTAGTCTTCTGTTTGTGGGATGCTTTTCCGGCTACAGTGTATTTCCTGGACCACAAATTAAACAAAATATGCAATGGGTGTGAAGAATGACAAAGCTGTAAGATTTTGCTGAGCGCCATACAGTTACTGGGGGGTCGATTTTTTTTGTTTTCTTCTGGTTTTTGTTTTGTTTGGGGTTTTGGGTTTGTTGGGGTTTGGGTTTTTGTTCTTTTTCAACAAGTCCAGAGTCACTAGCAAGTGACCAGTTTCACAGCTAGTTCTTCGGACACAACCCAGTACTAACAGTCAGACCGCAGGCCAGTTAGCCTTGTCCCAGCCACACGAGCAGAAATCAGTTTTTCACTTTTGACGTGCACTGGAAGGAGCTGGGTTGCCACAGTAAGCGGGAAGGACGAGAAACCCCGCGGCAGTGTTACGCAAAACATACTCTTGGTTACCACGAATACGAGAAAACCTTCTCTGAGGGAAAACTGTCTCCTACCTGCCTGCCTGCCACCAGACCTCTAAGACCTTCTTCAGGAGCCTCCGGCACTGTCCGCAGCGGCTGGCCGGCTACCGGACCAGACGGACCAGCGGCCTGGCGGCTCCTGTGCCCTTGCAGCTCAGACGGCTGAATCAGCCCTGTGCCATCACAGGCACCGCTGTTAATCATCAGCCGCGCGCCCTACCAGGCAGGCAGGACAGGCACGCTGTTACTGCAAATGTTACCCATCGGTACACTTCCTTACACTTCCTTCCGAGATTAGAAGTAGTATTTTGCAAGGACAGACATCTTTTCCGCAGGCTCGCATCTCGTCATTTTAAATAGACCTTGCTGGGATCGGGTAAACTGCAGGCCACCCGCACGCCTCAACAGAAATTGGGTGTCCAGTTCAGGGGAGGTATTCAAGTCAAAGCCAAGCAGGAGCAATCAAGCACACCTGCGCGGTGACTGCAGATGCCAGCAAAGCAGGTAGAGGCCTGGGTGGCTTACGGGCAACTATGCTCAAGAGATGCGCTGGAGGAAAGGCCAGCGTGGTTCCGCCAGCCAGGATCACACACAGGGCAAGCGCTGTGTCTTTCAGAAGGGCAGGTCCCAGTCTTTAACGTCTCTCTCTTGGCTGGGCTGAGGTGATGCCCTGACAAAGCTGACGCAGGACTGCCTGAAAGCCACACAAACACAGGGTCTCCTCTCGCAACGACAGGTTTTTGCACGTGCAGCTAATAGGAAGCACAAGCTTAGGACTCTGTTAATTATGCCATTACAGAAGGAGGCTGAGCCTGATAAGTGAGCCAGGAAAGATGATCCCGGTCCTCTGATGGGCCAGTTCTGCAAGAAATTCAGCACCGTAAGCAGCAACACACCATACTAGCCCAGTAGCATCCGTCACTTATCAAGGCAGGGCTCAGCGCGGCTGACTCCACGAAGCGATGCGAGGCAACGCAGACTTCCTCAGCCGGGTCACTGCATCAAACAGCAGAGTCACTCATTCATGCAGTGATGCCTCGAACACAGCTCGGGCCTGACGAAATCCCTTAAGACTGCCATGACAACACTCTTCTCCCACTCAGCTACAGCCTGTAAACCCTGCAGACGGATGGAGGAAGCTGTCATCTGTGTCGGTGCCACCAGCCTTGGATGTCTAAGCAGCTACCAGCCTGCTCCGAGGCTGCGCTTCGGCACAAAGGGCATACAGCGCCCCGGGGGCGGGGAACCCATTTCTGGAAGCCTCGATACCGCTTAGAAAAAGAAAACTGAAATAAAGCAAAGACCTCCTTGTCCTTCCATCTTCCCATCTGCGTCTTTCCATTTCATTCTCATTCTGCCCTTTACACAAAGTCTCATTTTGCATGCCACAAACTCATCTGTCCTTTTGCTCTCAAGTTTTTCTTCCACTAGCAGAAAAACCTCAGCAAACTTTCACTGGCGGTCCTTCCAAAGCTGCCTTGGACCAGAAAGCAAACTAGAGAAAATATTTCACTATTTAGCCTTCTGCTAAATTGTGGCCTTGCAATAAACCTTCTTTTCCAGTTAGGTTTAACTAAACATTAGAAAAAGGAAGTCAGCATGTGTTTCTATAGCTACAGAGTGTCTCAGTGCAACGAGTAAATACTGCTGAAGAAGCACTTGCACATCCTGCAAGGGACCTGCTTGGCCACTGCTACGTAAAGGGCATCAAAAAAGTCAGCAAGAGCACAGGCAAATGGTTAAAACCAAACACAATCCATCTCTCCCAGACAGCCTTCTTTGGACAAGTCCAGTTACCCAAACTCCTTTAACAACTGCACGTAGATCTCGAGCGAGTAGCGCTACCGTGCGCGTCTGCGCCAAGACACAGCCTCTGCGATGCAGAGGGGTTGGTCCTCTAGGAGCGAACGCAACACTGGCAACGTGCACTCGGTGTGGAGAAGGAGATTCGCTCACGTGACAAAAGCTTTGAGGCTTTTCATTCTTTGCATATTTAGCTTTTAAAATTTTCTCCGACTTCTCTGACAAAGATCTCTCACCTGTGTTTTCCTGATGACGTGCATGTTTCTAATAGGTACTTCCGTCTGTCCGGTGTGCGCGAAGGGTGTTTTTTGCGCGTCTGCGTGCGGATGCGCAGATTGTAACTCACACCTAATTGCACTCTCACTACATACACGTGTCACAGAAAACATTAGGTCAGCTACTGAAAGCTGACTTGCAAATCGTGAGGAGCAGAAGTTGTTTCTCAGTGGATACTAAGAAAGGCCAGAAGAATGGAAAGGAGCAAACAATACAGAAACCTGAAGATTTAACTCGAGATGAAGAAAATAAAAAGGCTGAGAGTTGGAAAATTGGTTCAGTGTCTCTTACAGAACACTCATGTCAAAGCGCAGACGAAAGGGCTGGTGCCTGTCTCCATCCAGCTCCTCACCAACAACCCTTGCTGTGCGCGCACGTGTCGCTTGCTCCAGCCGGTTGCACGGGGACTCCAACCAAACAGCGTGTGATGTGTTGTTTTATTTATTGGTATCAAATTGACAGCCAAGATGACTCAGCTACTGACCGGGATCCCCCCGTGCAAAAAGCCCACTGAACTTCAGACCACTTGAGTGCAAAATGTACATTGACCCTTTCAAAACCGTCTTTCATACACATTTCAGCACTACCACTGTAGTCGCACAAATACACAGCGTTTTTTAAACACACGACATGCATCCTTTTGGGAAAACTGACTCACATAACAAAGAAATTGAGCTTTCCAGCAGGGCACCTAAATTCAGGGGCCTATATCATCCCATAAAAATCACAGAGTACCTAACTGCCTTTTCCTCGTGGATGACTAAGCATAGCAGATGCGTCTCCAATGTGCAACAGCTGAAATGACAATCTCTTAGAGCCATCTCCAGTCTCATCAGCACTGGCAAATACTCCGACTGCCAGTGAGAAGTCACAGTTAGCACCACCGTCTTCAGAACCGATTTTCTTCCTTTTTCCTTGAACAAAGTCTTTCTACCTTTGCGATTCTTCGTAGACAAGATGAACAAAAACAAGCATCTGACATGTAATCTGTTCGTCCAGGGCTGAACAAAACCCCTACGGTCATTTCTTTCTTATTTGAGCGGTCACATTGTGCACATAACGTGAGAACGGAATAAAGAGAGTCTGCTTCCCGAACAAAGCTATACTGACGTTTCACAACACAATTCCAGCTTCTCTAGAAACTGAAGTCTTGTGCCGAAGTCACGGTGCAGCAAGGTAACGTTCTGCCTGAAGTCTCGTGAATCTGATGAGCAGCTGCTATACGATGTTAGGGAAGAGCAGAGCTCTCTGTCACGAGCACACTCAATAATCCGTTTTGAGAAAGACGTCCAATTCCTTTGCTTATGACAACGCTAAGAACTTGCCACTGCCAGAGGTGTCACGGTCTAATTTTCCAGGAATTGCTTACTCACTATTCCGAAGTTTAAGCAAGCCTCCGAGAGCCATCCATTTTCCTCAGTCCAAAGTATTGTATGATTTTGTCCTTTATGGCAACAGCAGGCTATACTTTGCGTAGCACGCTGAAGATACCTGCTGTGTTGGAAGAGGGCTGTTTACCCGCACACATAGGCAGCAACACTGAAATCAGAACCCAAATGGTTTCTTGTCATCACGTGACGCTCAGAACACAACTCCGTCGTGAGACAGGTTGTGCTTTTCCTCCACAGGAGGAAACAGAAGGGGGGGCGGGGGGGCAAGACAGAATAGACCAGAGCAGAACACTCCACAGGGCTTGAAGTGACTGAAAACAGCTAAAACCCAGCAGTCCTCCCCTCAGCAAATACCAACCGCAGGAGAGCATTGAGGGCTGCAAGTATCCTTAGCTGTTCACACCTGCTCATCTAGCGACCTTTACTAAAAAGAGGAAGTCTTTCTTCAAAAGTGAACAGAGCCCATCAGTTCTGCAGGAGTTCCTTTTATGTACTCGCTCTGTCATTCCCTTGGTTTCGTCTCGTCAGCAAGGCTGGGGTACCTGCCAGATGGCACTGGGTGGCCTTCCCAGCAGAACTTCCTCTCGTTTACAGGTAAATTGGTAAGCGTCCCAACGCCTCATCCTCACAACGCCGTCTCGCCCATGCAGACTTTGTAGGGTGATTTCAATTTCCTGCATCTAGAATGGACAACATCACATGATTTGCATCAGAGCAATCTAAAACCACAGCAGTCTGAACAGAACTAAACCTAGTCACCCAACTCATTTAGGTAGCCCCAACGAAACCCACGTTTCAGACCATCGCACCAGCTGACCCGACTGGCAGATCGGAAAGCAGACCTATCCAGTGTCAGCTCCTTTAAGATCACAACGCAGATCAGTAACAGGCACGAACACGCTCCCAGTGCCCTCAAAACTCCGCACGCTGTTTCCTCCTGCCCACTGTAATTCAGATGAATATAAAGGAAAGGTTACGTATATCTGCCGTACCTCTTTCTTACGTAGCAGTAGAAGATGGCAAGTATCCCGCTCGTCAGTATTCCTACACCAATTCCCACAGCGATGTAGCGTTCGTAAGAATTACGTGCGTATGAATTTAGCGTTAAATGTTCACATCTCTCTCCATTATAACCCGCAAGGCACCTACAAAATAAATATACACCGTGCAAAAATTATTCAGAACTTTTTATGCTTTGTATTTCAGAAACATATGTTAGTTTTCATCAGTTCTAAATCATTTAGAACAAATCTAAACGAGGATGGGCTGAATCTGGTGCCCAGTCAGAACCGCTTCACTCCACCAAGACTACCAGTCGCCCCAGGCTCTCTAGTCTTAAGCTAGCTCTAGTACTGCAGTCACAGCAGTAAGCGCAGTCTAAACATAACCTCATCGCAGAAGGCGTGGACCAAGAGCACTGTGCTCTGCTGATCCTTAGCTGCTCTCCTGTCTCCAAAGGCCAAGGCTGCCCAGTACGGACCCTAGGAAAACGTAAGGACGCCATAGTCCCGAAGGGCGTGTCAGCAGTTGCAGAATAAGGGAGCTGCAGCCGGTACCTTGGAAGATCCTGCCCCCTTCTCTGTGCCCACCGTGAACATCTACTTATTCCTCTACTACTTAGTCCAGTATCAGCTGTCATCTGAGACGCCATCACTGCAGTGACCCACGGAGCTGCGCATTTTCCCTCTCCCTAGCAGAGCACTACTGCCTCGTTAGCAGTCCTGAGCCACCGTAGCGCTCAAGCCTGTGCCAAACTTTAAGCCTCCAAATACTCGACTGGCACTTCAAAGCTGCGCTCCGCTGAAAATTAGTCTCATTACATTAGTAACATGTAGCAGACAAAGAAACAACGCTCCTGTTGTTATTGTCTAAGAAGGATACTTATAAGCAGTATTCTTTACTTGCATATGGGTTTCCTCAGTTCGCTGTGGAACGCACAGAGCCCATTGATACAATAGCTGTGGTGTTCTTCAAGACAGGTCTGCATAAGCTTCAAGAGCTTGGGCTGCTCTGTGTAGTCTACTGTGAAAGGGGAAAAAGTCATGTTACATTTCGGAAAAAAAAAAAAATCACTGCAATCTATTTTCACAACTCAAGATGAACAGACATTGTCTGCAAAAAGACACTTGATACATAAATTCACTGTGGCATGCCTCGTGAGCCGATTAAAACGCCACTAAGCAGAACAAGCTTCTAAGACATTCCGGCATAGCTTTAGAGAAAGAACAGACTGTAAACTAATTGCTCCTGAAAATTGCGTATGAAAGCGGTAAGGCCAGCACTACCCAAACTGCAATCCATCAGAAAAACCACTCCAGGAATATCACAGGTTTTAGGGCACAATGAGAGCACTGAATTATTCTCAGTATACTTCCCAAGCCTGAATTCAGAGTATTAATGATTTCCTTTTTTCTTTTCCCCATTACAAAACAAACTATTGCATATGTAACACTCCTGCCGACTGGCTCAGCAGCTGTGAGTGCACGATAAACGGTGGGACTGCTCTCTCCACCCCTTCGCCACGGTCCCATGTTAGCTGAGTGTCCTGTTATGCTTGTAATTACCCCAGACTGCCCGGATGGTCTTCCCGTGCAAAAGCACAGTCTGTGACTATTACGTTTCTGAACTTGCGCAACGTTCTATGCGTCCAGCGCAGAAAATGAATACCTTATTCCCATTCACGGCAGCTCAAATGGGAATAAAGGAGAAGTCAAAACTATTCTTGGGGATCTTCTAGCACTGCTACGTACCGACAGAAGAGCGCCTGAGCCCAGGAGCCAGGCACCCTGCTCTGTGGAAGGAGCGCAGAGGCCAGCGTCAATCTCTAACATGGGAGCAGGGGTGCGGCAAGCGAAGAGAAAGCTCAAAAGCTTCACCATCAAAGCAACTATCTGTTTGAACTGGTCTCTCTGCTCAGTACAGCAATCGCGGGTAGGGTGGGGTGTCCAAGCAATGCCGTGCTATTTCAAGGGACTGTTTTAGTGATGGCTGAAGGTGATTTCCTAACCGAGTATATGTCAACACCAGCTTTCAGTTATGACCACAAGAAAAATAACATCAGGCAGGAAGGTGACAAGGTCTGCTCAGAGTGACTAAACAATGGCACAGCAAGCAGAATCCTTCCTTTCTGACTAAGTGCTGAATCAAGGTCTGGAGATATTATGCCGATGGAACGACTGTCAGAGACGTAAGCCTCTAGCCCTCCTGCAGGCAACTCGAGCTCCCACGACGCATTTTTCATGAGTAACACCACCAGCCCCCTAAATTCCCGATCAAATTCCAGCTTGAGTCATTTAGTGGCAGGAGTCCCTCCCGTGCGTTCCACTGAATTATTTTTTTCTTCGTCCTTTATGCACTTTCATCACAGATATGACAAGCAAGGGTAAACAGCTGCTCTACTCGACGCCCGCACGTCAGGGCAATTCACAACTTCACTGAATACTGTGGTTTGGACAGCTAAGAGGCATGATGCTATCGCTGCTACTCAGATCAAACACCACTACTTTGAAAACAGTGCCCTCTAAAACCTGACAGACATCAGACTTCCAGCTTATCAGGAGATTTCAAGAGAACAAGTAACGATTCAAGTCTGCTTGAAAAAGAACATGTTGGCTTACTACACTTTCTTGGGGAAGCTACAGAAGTGGAAAAAACACGTCTTCCTTTAAAATGATCTTCTTTGGGCTGAGAAAAGGACATCTTTTCCATTCTTGAAAGGAGCAATCACGTGTTTCTCTTCACATTGTGGAGACGGCAGACCTAAAGCTAAAAGCTATAAACCAAATCCACAGCGTCTGCCTAGCAATCAGGTGACAATACGTACACACCAAAGGAGATGCCCAGACTGAGGCCCCACCTCTGCCGCACGCTGCGACGCGGCACGGGAGCGCTGAAACAGCTCAGAGACCGGGCGTGCGTGGAGCATCACCTAGCAGTGAGCTCAGGGGCACCGCAGCCAGGTTGTCCCCAAGGACTGAAACCAGACCCGTGTCTCTGCTATAGAAAGGCCTGTGCGGGGCAGACACACCCATAGCCTTGAACCACACGCTCTGTGAGGGACGAAGCTGGCGCCGGCCACACGCGAGCTGCTCTAGTATCAAGCTCTGGCTGTTCTCTGGGTGGCGCCGGGGACAGGCTTGTGGGCTGAGAGCACAGTCAGAACAGGGCCAGGCCTTGGAGCGACAGTTTTACGGAAGAGAACGACAACTTCAGAAAGGACAGATTTCAGGAAGAAAAGACAGATTTTTTTTGACAAGAGATGGATGATACTATTTTCTGCCCAGGAGGACTATACGATGCTCACCGCTGGGGAAAGCGCGATGGAAAAAAAAAAATAATAAAAAAATCACATGGTCAACACAGCTGTGGGGCTCAGCATACCAAGGAGATCCAGGATGCAGGAGACCTGCAAAAGCCCGTTTTCACTTAGGCCTGACGTACCTGCAGACCAGCTACCGAAGCTCTGCAGGGAGGTTTCAGAAAACAGGCAAAAGCACATTGCCGCTTCCCTCGTGCCTCTCCTCAAACGCTTAAGCACCCACTGTTTGGAATGGCCATTTCAGCACAAAGGGGGCTGAACGGTGCGCTACGAGACCGCCCAACTTAACCACTCAACTGCACCCTTTAACGTGTGTTTCCTGCCGCCCAAAGTGCTAGTCTTCTACTGGGCCCCGAGAAGATGTCTACCGGACAGGTTTAATATTTCACTTGTATCTCTGCCATATGGAGAAAAAAAAAAATCAAAAACAAAACCGAGGAAGGTACAAATGTACGCGTCAGAGGCATGAAATCCCCAGCCGACTGTACTCAACCTTCCACCAGATGGATTCACGCAGCCAGAACATCCCTCTTTGCTCACCCCACGGCCGCCAAGAGGTGGCAGCCTTCCACCTACCAACGTCTGGAAGAAACCTCGCTTCGTGCAGGTACGCGAAACCTTCCTCCCCCGAGTGCCCTGGAAGTTAGTCCTGTCATTAGAAGCAAAGGTCAGCCTACAACAGAAGCCTGCCTAGAAAGCATTCGAGACAAACATCTTGCTGCGCAGGCGACAAACAAACAATACGTTCCTCCCTCGTTGGCAGGAGCGAGGGCTTTGTCCATTGCGGGTTGCAAGATCAGATCTCAAATGTACACACAAAATTCTAAGTGCTCATTATTTTGACATTGCAAAAGTACAAATTATCTCTGAAAGAACGATGAGTCTCGAAAACAAAAAGAATTATTTTCTAACCCATCCCAGAGTATTATGCTAATTCATATCATATTATCCACCTAGATACTAAATAAGCTGTTGAATAAACACATCCATGTGCCCTTTCATGTCACATGAGCAAAGAAAAACATGCTGTGTAAGCACTTGACAGTTGCCTGCAACTGAGTCATTCCAACAGATACACTTGGCAAGATCTGACATGAAATCAAAACTACAGGTACTTGGAAGCCTGGGCATGCCAAAACTGACAGACGGGCAACAGAAAGAGTCAGCACTAAGGGCACGACAGCTCAGCCTTCAAGTATGGTGCGTCGGGGAGGAACGGGAGAGTCAGAGAGGGGAGGGAGGGAAGGGGTCAGCCCCAGGTTCAGGGCCTCCCTTACAGGCTGCACAGAAGCAGCGGCTCACGGCAATGAAGGGACCTAATTTTTACACCAGTAAAACCAAGCCCTTCCCTACTCCTAGCTGCCCATCTTGCTAGGAAGGCTCCCCTTTGGCCCAAACAGCCTCAGAAGCTCTCGACCCCTGCTGCGTCAGCCCCCCAGCCAGGCACCCTCTCCACTACCTTATTTCCCTCCGGGCTGATCACCAAGCCTAACGTTTCCTAGCCCCACCAATGGTGACAAGTAAAGGCTATGTAACACAACACAAGGAAATAGGACATGATCTTGTAAATAGAAGGCAAATGGATTAGGCAGAAATTAATGGCTTTGCACAAACTGCACCTCAGCCCCCAGAGGCTCTGCAATCCCAAAAGAAACTGCTAGCTCCTTCAGTGATACTTCACCAGGAATTCATTTTCTTAGAATCCAGTATTACCAAACCTTGGTTATAAACCTTACTATAAACTTAATTTGCAGAGGAGTAGGAGCTACAAGAAAAGTTCAGAGAGATTCAGCCAGTTTCTTTGAAAAGAAGTGCTCAAAGAGTCACCAATCTTCTTTCTGGAAATGGTGTTTTCTAATTTCTCAGTGGCTACAAGCCTTTCAGCGAACATCGCCGGTCTCTTAGTTGACTTGCACAGCCGCAGCTAGCAAGCAGGTACATGGGACCATTAACAGACATGGCTGTGTCCCTGAAAATAAGCTTCTGATTGCTTAGAACGTGACCCGTAACTCCTGCTTTCTAGAAATCATACAAACAGGGTACTTCACCAGTCACAAGTTATTTCTACTCGATTATACTCCCGTTTGCCCTACGCAACTCTGGAAGAATCGTGTCAGACAAATCCACTAAACCAGACCACAGTGCTGTGCTGATAAATCCAACTACTGCAGTCAAAAATCAACATCATCTTGACTTTGTATACATATGGGTGTGTATATATACAATATATATTATATATACATCTATGTGAAACCCACATACATTATATACGTGTGGGTAAATATGCGTATATATGACGCTGTACCACTATGCCAAATTAGACAAAAAAAAAGTTTGACTTGTTATGAGAAAAATAAAAGACTTACAGATCTACTAAAAAAAGCTTGTAAGGCATCCTCTGATGACTTAGAATGAACAGAAGATGATTTGTATGCATGTTTATGTTCTTTGTAAAATACAAAGACATTAATAAGTATCACAGTTAAAATCCTTTCCTCCTTTACTGACCTGCCAAAACCTCAGTTCCAGATCGCACCGTTCTCCAAAAGTAATGACATCACTAGCACCTGAAGTAACATCAAGAAAGCAGCTTGCAGGATAAACACAGCGCTCTCGTCTCAGATGTTGGCAGGCAAATAGCTTGAGTTCATATTTCCGTCAGAAAAGAACAAGAAAGAAAAGAGAGCTAGCACTCTGAAGAGGGCTGTGGAAGCTGCGATAGCCAAAAGCAAAACTTCAACAAAGAAAGAAACGACAGAGTAACAGTACTGAGAGGCATCAGTTCAAGTTATGCTTGCTGCATTCTCACTCGTGAGCATAGATTCACGCTCCAGACAGCTAGAAACCAAGCGCTAGCTAAAACTAACAGAAACGGCCATCAGAAATACATATCACCTATCCCAATTAGCTTTAAAATATCTTCTTCCAATTATAACTGACTTGGGATAAATGGTCCTTCAGCTGGTCAATGCTGAGCATACCGCAGCTGAGCTGCCACTATTTCTTCAGAGAGGTTTTGAAGGCTCCGTGAAGCAAGCAGCTCATCTCACAAAGAAAGCACACACAAAATTCAACGGAGTCCAAGTGACAGGAGCATTAATAGCAGCTATCACCACAATAGATCTTGTTGGCTTGCTTTTTGTGTGTTGGTTTGTTTGGTTTTTTTAAAGTGACAGATTAATAGAGACAAACAGAACATAAAAAGAAATACCTTCAGCATTGTTTTTTGTCCAATTATTCCATAAGTCTGTGCTGAGGGATGAAACAGTAATCGCTGACTCTTCACTCAGTGCCCCCATTGCTGTGTAATGCAAATAGATGCTTACTGTAACAGAAAAACTCAGTATATCTATTCAAGGTTCATTTCATTCACAAAACACGTACCCACTTAATACAGTTCTGATACCATGCAGCAGTCTAGTAACAACTCATTTAAAACATTCTTGCCTCAAACTTCCTTTTCCCACAGCATAGCTACAATTGTGCAGAAACAAACTGTGGCTTGCAAATTTCCAAAACACATATCCCTTCCCTTCTCCCTTCTATCACCTTATGCAATTTACAACACTGATACCTGTAATATACTACAACGTTACACCTATTTACCTAAGTAGCTTATTTTCAAAGAGTCTAAATTATACCCATACCCTATCAGTTAAAATTTCATCCAGGTTTAAAATAGCTGAAGTAATTCTGCTTCGCAATGTCTTTGCATGCTTCCCACCCGTACCGCTTATTTCATAAAGAGCCAGCTGTTGTTCAACAAAGCCCCCATATCTTATGACACTGAAAAGCCTCCTCCAAACCCACCTTTCAGCAAAATATAGATTAGCATTCCAAATGCCATGGCAAGCAGCTGCTTTAACACCTTCTCAACTCTTCTTTCCAGATGGCTCGCTCGCGCTGCTTATCTGCGCTCCCGTGTTTTCTCTTGCACTTATATGCCACGGAGCGTCATCTGCTGTTCTCACCAATCAAAAAAAGGTGCATCTGGCAACAACCTTAACCCCCGGGGCAACCACACATTTATTCAGGAAACTGCTATTATCTAGCAATGGGATCAGGTTTTCTTTTGAAACCCTGGTTTCCTATTACCTGTGGGCATAATCGTGCATGCAAAGATACAATTTTAGAGAGACCTGGTATCTGCCAGAGCAGATGAACGAAGTACAGCAAAACAGAGGTGAGCAAAATGAAAAATGACCTATTGTGAAAAACACCACCCTTTTTTGCATTAGCAACGCAGGTCTTGTGTTACTTCCAGGAGGATAGTCGGTGCTCAGGATGCCGCTCCGGAGTTGAGGGTCCAGGGACAAGCCCCTGCTTTGCTAGCGTTCCTTCCTTGGTCTTCCCTGTACCTCAGTTCCCTGCCATCCGGAAGCGGGACTGCGAGAACAGCTAGTACTGAGATTAGGAAGCGATCGCACACAAAGATAACGGACAACGTTCGCCATCAGTGACTGCAGGAGGCCTTTGATCAGAGGCTCTGGCGAGCCTGAGGGCCCTGCTCATCGCTACTCCTTCAGCCTTCCCGTGCGCACACCGGTCTGGAGCAAGGCAGGCCACCAGCCCCGCGCGAGGCCTGGGACTGATGGTCGGAGCTGGCAAAGCACAGGCACCGACAGAACGCACAATCGATGGCGAAAGCTGGCAAAGCACAGGCACCGAGAAAACACAGACTCAAAGACCAGGGAAGCTGTTGCCTCCTCTATCAGGCGATCCCTTCATTACTCCCGCCACTTACTGCTATAAAAGCCCACCTCTACCTCTTGGAGGAGAACAACCGTACTTTTTACATAAAATGTTTGTGGGTCTCTAAGACACACCTGCCACGTGCATTTCTTGTACTAAACCGCTGTCCACAGCCCCAGTCGCTGTCCAGCTTCCCTGGCCACAGGCAGCTTGGCACGAGGAGGACTGGTCTCTGCGGGGTACCGACGTAGCCAGACGTACCGGAGCGGACCATCAGAAAGGCCCACTTCAATCACGTACGCACACACCCACCACCCGACTCTCACCGGAGGAGAGCTACGCGCTTCACCTCAGCAACAGCTTGTGCGTTCTCAACTGTGAGCTCCAAGCAACAACAACATTTCAGAATTTTGATATTTTTAAACCAAAAACCTCCTGATAAATGCTCTAATAACTCCGGTCAGCTCACGCTCTCCCTCTATGCTGCGCTCTCCTCAGTGATCCGTAGGACTAAATCTAACCACTTCGCGTGTTAAGGGAAAAACACAAGCTAGTTGTACGCATTTTAATTATGCCTTCTCCTGCTCACGGACTGCATTCCAGGAGGCTTTTCCCTTCTTTCGCTATCCTGAATGGCTGCATGCCTGCACACTGATCGAGTGCAGCTTGCGCACTCGCCGGATCGACAGGCGTGTTTATGCCTACCCGGATAACCTCTGCTATCAGTCCCAAGCAGGGCTACGTCTCACGAGCCTTGCTTTCAACACACGTCCGCACAATGGGAGCTTAATCCGGCTCGGATCCGAGAGATGGCCTGGTCATTAGGCAACACCGCTGGGCGCGGTAGCCCTGTGAGAAGGCTTCTGCGGATAAGGCCGTGCCTCTGTCCGCCACAGGGCGTTTGTGCTCGGACCAGACTTGACCGGGCCTGGCACATGAGCATGCTTTTTGGGTTCGTAATAGGCCCTTCCCTCTGCATGCTCCTTCTGGACCTTCTCCCAGTGGAGAATGCTCTCACAGATGTGTCTGGCAGCTCCGAAAATAGCATGCCGCTGAGCGAAACCTCGGTCTCGCTGCCTTTTGTGCAATGCTAAACCATGCACCACAGGTGAAAAGAGAAAAAGCTTAAGATGCACAAAAAAACGTTTGCAGGACGTGAAAGGAGACTCGCTCAAGCGACTTAAGCAAAACACCATAAATTGTTATTCTGCCTAAAAAATGCAGAGATGATTTTAGTTAAAGAAACATGAATCTAGAACAGCACTGCCAAGAGATGAAAAAAGTAATGACTGAACATACCAAGTATCTCCGTCCATTTGCTCCACTCTTAACACACAAAGGGAAAAAAAAACCAAACCACCCAAAAAAACCCCAAAAAACTCAGAACACAACCACTCCGCAAACAGTATTAAAATTTTTCACCAAGACTAACAACAGGGACCAAGATTTTTTTCCATCTTGGCCCATGATGAGCTGATTCTACATATTATCTCCACAGGCACCTAGGTTATTCGATCCTCCTAACATTTATACTATCGCTTAAATTTAAACAGATAAGCAACCGTCCACACTATTGCCACTATGTATTTAGTAACGATTCCATCAACCTCTTTCGCATCACTGCATTAAACGCAACTGTCAGAAAGTCCATCACTAGAACAATTAGCACAGAAGCGATACTCCATCTTGTTTCTTTTATTACAGTAGGCCCATTTTTTGTGTTCAACGGCAGTAGTTTATAACCACAGGATTTTTTTTTTTTTGTTTCAAGTTACCTATAGTCTACTAGCAAACACCTAAGGCTCTCGATGAAAACAAAGCAAAGTTATCCCAACTGAGATAAAACCATGAAGACAGAAGTCCAAACTGGCTCCCACTGACTGCAGCGAGAATTGGGGTAGGCTCTTCGTGTCAACAGCGCACACGCTCAGTCCAACTGGCAGCTTAGCAGTAACTCCACTCCAGTCCATTGCATGAGACTATTCTAGATCCACTTTTGAAACTCAAAGTTTTGGGAACAGAAATACACTGATCTTCTTATCCCACACAGTCCTCTCTAAGCAGCAAAACATTGTAGCCAAGGATTCATAGGGCCGAGCCTTACGTCGTGGACTAAAAAACCCCCCTCGTGCAGTTTGAGAAAATAACAAAACAATTAAATGGCTTATGATTCCAATACAAGTATTTCATCGGGGATAAACCCTTACTTTTCTCTTCCTTCTTCCCCCCCCCCCCCCCCATTATAGATATTGTACACACCTAGTAGTTTTAACTACATTCTACCTAAATTCAAGTCCAATCCAGCCCAGTCATCTATTGAGGTTTTTTGCGTGATAAGGGTATTATGCACCAAAACATTTTGTCAAACACATCCAGACATGGCAAGAGAAGAATTCTGGCCCCAATTCTAGCTACTTATTCATGCATACCTCTTGCATATGTTTAAGGTCAGAATGTCACCAGCATTCAAGTTTACATGGCGATTTTAAAACACGCACTGAACATTTGCATTCACGTCAGCATTACTGCCTGGCAGCCGAAACAAAAATTTCGGTCTACCACTCCTTTCGGATTCAATACCGCTGCTGCTGTCTCTAACTGCATTAAAAATGCAATAAATTCAAGACTTCAAACTAGAACCAGAGCGCTTCATGGCCTCAGAACCCAAATCAGTATTTTTAAATGGTATCTAGCATGTTGAAACTGAGTTTTTATACTGTTTGATCAAAACTGACGGTGCCAAGCGCTTAAAAGATCTTGGTCATTGCACCCCATCCGCAGATACACAGGTATACTTGTAATTCATGCTTCGTCCTTCCTTTTCACACCAGTAATTGACCAACAACAACCTATCTGCATAGGCTGCGTTCTCCAATTCATTTTTGCTCACATTAAATCAGTAGGAGGTAACACAAAGTATTTTAACATTTTGTAAACCATCAGGTTTAGCGTACTTTACAGGAAAAAATAAATACAATGTAGAAATAAATATCTTTGTAGTAAAAAATAACAGGTTTGTGTATCAATAAATAGAACAACTTGGATTCTTCTTCCAAAGTAGCCCGCTTGCTCTAGTAAATGAGCTTTTTAGCAACTACAAGTGTGTTCTTCAGAAGCATTGCAACCGTCATAGGTCCTACCCCTCCTGGCACTGGAGTGATAAAGCCAGCCTTCTTCTTCACTTCTAAGAGAAAAGAGAAAAAAGTAATGACCACCAATGTTTCCAAAAACATTTTCCCCCCCTTCAACTGCCCACCTATGCCTAACCGGCAATGAGCACAAAGGACCGCGTCCGGGCAAGTACTGGAAGATACGGGAAGACTTAAGGCAGAAGTCTCATGACAGCCACGGTAGTGACAGGATGCAGTCAGGACCGGGGCAGCAAGGTAGTTTTCTTCATCTGAACTATTACTACCCAGGGGCTAGTTCCAGTGCACGGCTTCACAATCTGTTGGAGCTGATCTACCTGCAGAAGGCTGCCCTTTCCTCAGGGGAGCAATGCACACTCACGCAGCCTGTGGTCAGACAGATGGAAAGTTAATCCTGCCAAATTTCTTTTGTAAGGGGCAGTTTTTGACCATTTCAGCTGGCTGACCAGCTGGCCCAGGAACGCCCGGGTTACACGAGGACGGGACGACCCCAGGAGGGCAGCAGACACGCACATCACCATCTGCCAACCGTGACACTGCGCCTTCAATATCCAGGAGAGCTATGGAAGCTGGGGATCTCATTCTGTAGGTAAAGAGATGACACACACACACCCCCCCGCTAAGTGAGTGTGCCCTTGAGGAGCAGCGTGCGGAGTAGGCAACTGCTGTAACTATCAAAATCGACAGCAGAGAACCAACAGCAGTCAAGTCACGCATTCGGCCTAGCTTGCGGCTTCCAACAAAGATATTCTACAATCGGAAAAGGGAACTTAAGAAAACCGCAGAGGGATAAAGTACGGTTTCCTGGTTGATTTTTCTGCTCCACAATACGGACAAAAACCAAAACCAAGAGTTGTCTTCAACGTAAAATAGATTCTAGGGGCAAAATCCCCACTGCACCTTCAGCCATAAACACTTAGCTCCTCCAGAGAACACTTTTTTTTTTTTTTTTAACCAGCGTTACTAGGGTGCCTATATTGAACTAGGATTTGGAGGCGCAGGTCTTCCCAAAGTCTCAAACAGAAAGGAAACTCTTACAGCTGAATTAGCTCCAACATGTCAGACTGCCCAAAGTTAGTACAGATCTTGAATGCTTGTGTTAAGAGGTAAATATGTACAGATTATTTTTTTTTAAGCATTTACATTAACACCTGACAAGTTAACCTCTTTGTACAAGGAATTAACGTAACGTAGCAATAAATCCTGACTTGATTTTCTTATCTAGTGTGCAAAATGCAATCAACTGGAATTGCAGGTTGCTTGCAAAGGAATTAAATGCAACTGGCTGGGAAGTCGTTGCATGACAAACTGTAATAAGCAGTTATTTGCTACTAATGTTTAGTCCAGGTGGCTTATTACTAACCTGATTACTACAGAGGGTTTTTTGGTTTGTGTTTTTTTTTGTTGTTGTTTGGTGTTTTTTTTTTCTTTCCTCAAGTGCCACCGTGAGAGGATTTTTGTTTGTTAGTTTGGGGTTTTTTTGCTTGCTTAGAAATCATTTCTTGGAAACTCACCCCCTGCTCTTAAAAGCACTGTTTTTAAAAAGTGCGCGCGCGCGCGCGCACACACACACACACACACAGAAGAAATCTGAACAAGCTTAAGTCTGAGACAAGCACGTACATTTCTAGTGAAGTCACTGCAGAGCAGAATCTATACCTGGCTATGGGAAGAGATCAACAGATGGAAAACTAAGCACCTTGATTTGGGAACAAACAAGATAAAGTTTTAACTGTATTCACCTTGAATCTATATGGTGCTTCACTGCTAAGAATAACAAGGTCTCACAAAAATAACTCTTGAAAATTCATTTGAAAAGTTGGATATTGGGTTTTTTGGATCAAATATTTATTAGATTTTAAGGGACGCGGGGAGACTTAAATGAAATAAAAACCCCACCACCTCAACTCCCCAAGGCAGGGACTTAAGAAAAGCATTCCCAGAAGGTAACGGCAAATATCTCGCTGAACCAAAGAACAGAAGATTAAGCCTCACTGAGGACAGATGGTAATTACAACTGGGAGGCTTTTAATTGCTCAGTTGACTGGTACCACCAGATATACTGTTAAAATATTTGGAAAGGTAAACAAATTGCAATGTGGGTTTTTTTACATGCAAATTACCACAAAGGAATTAAGATGTCATATGACAGTTATTCTTAATTTTCTCAAACACAAATAATTTGTCTTTTTAATAGTTACACTATTTTCAACTACCTACCATTTGACATTGGTATTTACGGTTAATACAGTTACTACAAATTCCCAGATTAATGTCATAATTATTGACATGTACCCACATCTGAAATGAACATGGTAATTAACATAGAACATATTTTAGGCATTTTAAATTGAAATAAGGTTTTTTTTCCATGCCAATGTTACATACGTCTTTTTTGCGGTATTATTCAAACTACTTCTATCTTACTTACAAAGAGGTACGTACAATCCACAACTGGACCATCCCTACCTAAAGAAAGCCTTCTAATGAATATCATGTACAACATTCATTGCCTCTAGTGTTAGTAACCGTACTCGGCAGTAAACACACAGTATGCTGTTTTCACAAGTTGTTGGGGAATTTCTCTACCCGTACTCTATCATTATGGAAACCCTGTGGGTCAGTGTGGCAGAAGACATATTTTGTATGAGTTAGCATAAAACCACCCGGATAGCTTATTCAGAAAAGCCAATCTGGATTATAAAATGCACAACAGGTGTCTATGTTGGGGAAACTACCATGTGCTAAGTTTCCAGCTGTAAGAGTAAATACAGATACGGAGAATGCAATTTTCCAAGACTGATGCCAGCGACCAAACAGGGAAAAAATAGCCCGGCCCTCAAAACTGTAAGCAGATCTTCCTGTCCTTGTGAAACATAGCAGGCCAAAGCGCAGTTCCAAGACGGCACCTGAGCGTGACCCATCTTACGTTGGCGAGTAAGGCGCCGCACTGTCGGTTCCTCCAGGAGGTCTTGTTTCTGGTTCTCAGCAACAGCCTAACTTCGTCCCTAGCTTTAAGTCTGCTTTTCTCGAGATGCGTGCCCTTCTCCCAGGCTTCTCTCTGCCAATCTGGAAAACGTTGGCGTGCAAATTAGGTGCCTATGGGGGAGGAGCTGCTATTTTGCAGCTTCTGTAGAACCTTAAAGTCTTCCTTTGATTCTTCAGAAGAAATGAAATGTAGATTGTTTCCTTGAAAAACAGGACCCACTGCTTTGTAAACAGCCCTTCATTCCTAGGTTCCTTTAAAGGTAAGGACATCAGACACCTAATAGGGTTAATCACACAAACCAAGGGCAAGTCTCAACCTGAAGACAGTTCTGGGTCTTGTGCATCTGCATTAAGTGATGCAGAGTAATTCCTGCCTCGGCACTGTTTCCACACAGCTTTATGAGTCCCTGTAAAGCTACTCTGGAACACTGCATCCCTGCAGCACTGCACCATTGAGAATCACGTGCTCAGCAATCACAGTAGATATCCCCTGTTCTGCTCTACACGCTCTGGGATTCTTCTCGCTATGCGCTGTGGAATACCGCCCAGCAAGCATCTACCCCATTTCTCACAGTTCCTTCTTTTTGATGTTATCCCTGTTTCTCTTACTGCACTTATTTTAACAGCAATACAAAGGAAGGTCAAGGACTTCTGGCCCAAGTACTGTAATTCTAATAGTGCATACATCCTTCCTCCTCCAGTCCCTCTAAAAGCCAAGCAACAGAGGCATCTCGGGCAGAAAAATGCAGCATAAGGTTATGCACAACAGCTTCTTTGCATTCAGCTAATTAGCACAGACAGGTAGATGGGGTATCGTTGCAGCCTTGGGACAGTAAACAGCGGCAGCAGCAATGCAAGACAGCAAAGACGACTCAGACCTCTGCACGACATAGTGCTCTGCAGAGTACCTAGACTTGGCCATCCAGCAGCTTACTGCCACCAGCTAGCACTCAGTCAGCCTGGCCACCTGCCATCACAGCCCAATGCTCATGCTTATTTATTTCTTGCACTAGTGGACCGTAGCAACAGGCAATGCTTCCTCTGACTTTTGCAGAGCAACAATACGGTGACAAGATTACGCAGACTGGACTTAATTATTAATTGCAAAATGAATAGCAGGTCTTCAAAACCACCTGAGAAATTAACTAAAAAAAGCTACAGCAAAAGCAACGGGAACATGGACTTTCTGCGTTTGGAAAAGCTGCACAGAGAGATAAGTTAGAAAGGATTTGATAGTCTAAAGGGAAGTCTACGGCCTGGGAGGTAACACAATGAACACAAAGCGTCAGCAAACCACCTTCAGAAGCGACTGCTGTCGCAAAGCCTGGGTTTCCCACAAACCGTAGCTAAGGTACAACTGCAGGACCATCATTTCCATTAAGAAATTGGATTAGAAGATTATCGTGGTAAATCTCTTGAACTACAGGAACAAGTTTCAACAAACTTGTTAATTTGCCTGATGACTTTGTAGTCATTAGTCCTGTATCCGATTTCTTTTTGGTACACTTGGTCCATCCAGAAACGATACACGAATCCGGTCCATTCTCAGCCTTAATATTATTCAACATTCCATTTCCCTAGTTCCCCTGCATTCACCATGTACAGTTATCCCTCATTCAAAGGAAGCTCATAATGTACGTCCATCACCCATGACCATATCGATTACTTGTTGTTGAGGCAGTCTTTTCTGCTGTTCAGTACTGGGACACCCCCCGCCCCCGCTCTTGGTGGCACCTATTTTCCAGAATCTCTTTTACATTGCCTAGGCTGTGCAAAACAGGTGAGTCGGGAGAACGATTCTCATTTATAAACCTCTCCCCTGATACTGCAACTACATCACCTACGAAGGTCTCACATAAAGATTTCTTTTCTATATAGGCATAAATAAAGACTCAAAAACCAGCACTACCGTCTGTTTGTCAAAGATACGGGAAGAATGATAAAGAAATATAGGCAGCATTTAAACTAAATCCCGCTCGAGTTCTGTACGCTTTGGTTCCACGGGCATTTCCAGTTCCAGTTTCAAACGTTAGCTGCTACATTGGCGTGTTACCACCCTGCTCTACCAGTCACTCCTGGAAATGGTGCTCCACCCAAAAAAGCCGTTCCAGTTAAATGCTCTGTGTAAGTTGTTGCTTTATTTCATGTTCCTGGTCCTTGTAGCCCTCCTCCTCCCTTAGCATTACTGCTGTGGCAACAAAAGCCCTATAAAACAGGGCCAAGTACACCCACACGTGCGTTACCCTGTTCATCGAAACATGTCTCCCTTTCTGTCACTGAAACTTGCTGCCCGAAATTAACTGAAACGGTGCTGGCAATAATCTAAGGGTGCCAAGGCTTCTCCTCCTCCCTGTCACTTCACCTCCCAGGGTGCCCCCTCCCTGAACCATGTATTTTGGCCAATTCCTAGCATAAATAGGGGTTTGCTGAAGGCGCTCTGCTGGTTATAAATGGAGAGATGCGCATGCAGTTTAAGATAGCCTAGCAAGATCAGGCTAGGTACCTCAGCACTTCGCAGCTGACCTCCACATGCACCGCGTTTTCCTGTCTGGTTCTTTTAGATACCTCAGAACTGCACAGGACTATTCTGGACAAAAAAACCCCAACCAACCAAAAAAAAAAAACCCAAAACACAAAAACAACACCCCCGCCCCTTTTTTGGGGGGGAGGACACTTTTGCCCAAAATAAACGGTTAAGCCTGACAAGCACAGAGGTACCCCGACGCCATCGCCACTGAGCCAACCATTATAGCAGCTGGAATAGTGATAAGCACAGGTCTGATGCTATTAATTTTTTCTAAGTAAACTAAACAATCCTGTTGCTCCTCCTCATCTCCTGGAGTTTAAAGGAGAGCCAAAGCGTGTTCCTTGCCTCAGTGTGTACACAGGTACACCAGCATAAGCCAGTGGTCTGTCCTCAGCCCAGCGTTGGAAGCGTTGTCAAGAGCAAGGTCTCTGGCTTGCGGGTGACTGCATGCGACTCTCTTGCCTACAGCAGAAGCGGACACGACTCAAACAAATGAACATTTTGGAACAGATTTCAAAACTTCAAAAGTCATTTTTTGAGCAGCTTTCAAATTGTCTTGGCCTGCGGTAGGAATTTTTTCCTCCAGACATTTCTTACACTGAATTTAATAACGAACAACATGCAAAAAAAAAAAAAGTTGAAATGGCATGCTTTTGTTGATCAAAGAGATAAAAATTAACTTTAGCTTCTAACCTACCCCCTAGAGATTAGAGGATGGCATCCAAGTATTGCTAGGACATGACGACTGAATCAAAACAGTTTCCACCCATCTAATAGACTTATTTTCCACCGCAGGTGAATTTTAGTCAGAGGACCTGGTCAAGTAAGCCATTTCCATCTATTGCTTATAAATCAAATTTAACCTCTGGTTGCCCAGTTAAATCTCTGCTCTCCTCACGGCCACATTTTTAAACTTAAACTAGTGGATGATGAGACCACAGATACCGGTGGGCTACACGATGTTAAACTAGTGCTGTACGCCATGCCAGCCATTTATGTACCTGTCCTTAGCCTGCAAAAATCATTTTCACTTAGGCTTAAATAGAAGTTCAGTCAAGTGATCAAACAGAGGAAACAGATAAAATGATTTGCTACATGAATACACCAGCTCGTTCCATTTCCTAACTGCCAAATCAGATACTTGGCAAGAGCGATCGACTTTTTGGTATTTAGAACTGTATACGCTGGGATGTTTTTTTTGTTGTCAGAGATTTAGTGAAACTTTCACCGATACCAATGAACCAACAACAATTTCCCTTTGGCAATGCACAGTGAAATGCTACTTGCAACTGTAGTGGCATAATCCAAGTTGAAGTTCCTCCCTCTTTTTTGGATCTTCCCTCCCCCCAGGTAAAATCCTGAGAACAACCCACACCAGACATGACGAGACACATACAGTGCATTGCTGAAACTCTGAATCACGGCCTTGCCGTGGAATCTACACCTATATTACATTCATAAGGTCTTGCATTTAAAGGAAAAGAAACAAAAAGCGTAAAATTTCATGTTTCTAAGAGTTATAGCTTTTTTCCTGCCATACCTCCTAAAACAAACAAAAAATCCTCAAAGTTCTCTGTACTTTAGTTCAGTTCTGAAAACAGAAAATAAAACCTTTTACTCGTGATAGCACAAGCAGGATAACAAAACAAAAAAATTTTCAAGTTGTACTCAAAGAGTATTTGTCTGCTGAAGGTCTACTGTACACATACGGTTATACATTGCCAAACGCATGCCGAGACAATCCTTTAGCTACACTCGTGCGGCTAATTTCGTTGACTTTAACAGACAGGTATCGTGTGTGATGAGTAAAAGCAGCAGGAACTAAGGGAGTGATGTAATTACAAATTACAAATACATACAGCTGGCTAGAAACATTTTGAATATAATTAAGCTTTGAGACATTATGCTAGCCAAGATGTTAATAACTGTGAAAAAAACCTGTGGGTGATTTTCATACTTATCAAAATAAGGAACTGTTGAGAACCATTAATAATGTGGCTAAATGCTGTCTAAGCTTCCCACACTCAACTCTGCCAATAAGCTTTAATTTTCCACTGCAACAATCCTGCTATTCCAGTCTGGAGCTCCTCCAGAAGAGAGATATTTAATCAAGTTACATTGTGAACTTGCTCTGCAACACATTAAATGTAAAAAGATCAATACGTAACATCAATTTTTATCTGCTAGGCTTGCCTGGACCAAGATTTTCAACAGCTCAAGATGAACCCACATTAAGCCTTAGCATGAATGGTACCTCTAAAGCAGAAGTGAACATTTTCACAGACAAGCGTAGAGCGAGATAGTAAAAGGAGGCTTGAGAAGCTGTGGTACAGTAGTATTTGCTATGAACGGTGGGAGGCCTTGTGAAAGAGCAGAAACCGTTTTTATTGCTTACTCTTGGAACACTTCACAGACTCGTAAAGGATTCGAGAAACCTGGAGACAAGCATCTTCCGCCACCACGCTGCCTTTAGATGCCTCATCTGCATCTCTTAAAGGTTGCTGGTATGTGTAATTAAAAGTAACGCTTCCTCTCTTAAATAACATACCATTTCTTAAGAGCATACGAACATAAGTTTGTTTTCTTATTCAAGTAAATAAATTAGAAAAAATTCCTGCAAGTATCATCTCATTCGAGACACCAGTTATTCCAAGTATTTATCACAAATGAATCCCACAAACTTCAAAATATTTATCCAACAGGTTCATATAAAGAGCATTTCACTGACCTTCAAAGTCCACATCCCCAACTAATTTGGTCTTTCCCGTAAGAGGATCGTGGATATGGTTGATGCCTACGTCAATCACAGCTGCACCTTCTTTGACCATATCAGTTGTAATCAACTTTGGGATACCTGGAATCATCAAGATCTATTTGATTAACGTGGCCGGGTAGTCTTAGGTCATCAGTTTCAAATTATACCAAGGGGCGCGCGTTCACGTGTACGTATGCACAAAAAAGAAGATCATTCCTTCGCTGGAATTTTTCTTGATACATCACATACAGAAAACAATTATTCCTCAGTTTCCCCGTTAGTAATTACTAAAAGCTCCACTCGACGCACAGAAAAGACCTCCCTTTCAAGAACGGGAGTTCAGTAGGCTTCCGCCTTGCAGAGAGCAATTGTAATAGCAAGAAAGACTATCTTTGAACAAACGTTCTAGCACTGCTTTACAACCAGCAGCGTCACGTGTGACCAGACATCTGAAATTTTACACCTGGACAGTCACAACAAATGAAGCATCTCATGGAATATTAAGGCAATGCAGTATCTGAGACTGAAGTCGCCGCGTGCTATCGGACAGCCAAGAAGATCCAGTCCTTTACACATCATCATCATTCGCCTATCGTAACTTAATTGCGACAGCGGCAATCTTTTCTCTGTATCCACTTCAAATGACCTCCTAAATTTCTTTTCTACTGTGCAACCTCCAACTTGGCGTGACAGGAAATTCAAACTTTAAAATTACAATTCACCTCGCTTCTTGAGCGATTCTCTCAGTTCTCCGCTCTGTGAAGAACGTTCATCCTAGTAATAGAGTACCTCCAAAGGGGGAGTCCCCTCTCCCCACCAAAGTGGCTTTTTCTCAGGAGGGGAGAAGACAAAAAAGGCAAAGAAGGAAAATCCATATGGTTTGGCACCGTAGTTTTATTGGAGGCAAGCGCCAGTGTACGAGGGCTTTGGCTTCATTTGAAATGCTGGATCACAGCCAGTCAGTCATTTAGATACTGGCAATACAAGAACCTTCTTTGCTCTCCATTTCTCACTCCCCCATAGGACACCAGGTTGAAACTCTGCTTCTAATGTTGGGCAAGCCAAGACCTCAAATTCTTTCCTATGCCATTTGATAACATCTGGCTGCGTCTACTTCACGACACTCTTACGCAATCCATCGCAAGCTGGCTGGTAATTGGATAATGCCTCAGCCTTATGGGGGTAAATGATCTGACTGCGATAGGGATGGAAGCATATTAACGGAAGCTGCACAGTTACACCCTTTGTAAAATGGTTTGATAATAGGCCAAATACTTAATAGCAACAAATAAACTAACCCCCAAACCAAATGAGCAGATCTATTTACTTAGGCCTACTTTACATACCGAGTAGGAAGAGATAAGCGTTAGAGCAGCTATTCCTAAAGTGCACTGACTGAAGAATGTGGAAAAATCTTTCATTGGTAGTTTTTGTAGAAAACTATGATTCTTTTTTTTTTTTTAAACAAAACAGAAACAAAACCGTACCTAACCCCAGCTTAGGTACAAGGACTGTACAACAGCCAACTCCTGAGAAAACCTACCAGCCATGAATAAAAGAGCCTGACAAATCAGTAATTCCTATACAAGATGACCACAGATCACGTCCCGAGGGACAGCGCAAGTTGTCCCAGAAGGATTTCGTCTGGCAGTTGGCTCCGCCGCTCCTTCTCCGCTTTACGCCCTCTCCAAACCTAGCAGACAGATCAGTCTTCTTTCTCAAGGCAGACCGGAAAGCCAAGACGACAGAAGCAGCAGGCTGACTAGTCAAAGACGGCTTACTGCCTCCATGACCGCCCTACCAGTACTGCAGTGGCTACGCAAGCACTGCAGGTAAAGCTGCACTTACTCTTCTACTACGTGTCCGGCCCGATGGCAAAAAGAACAGACTCTGTGGGATGTCTGTATAGGCAGGGATAGCAGGCAAAGACAGGAAAGGCTACGGTGGGAGGGGAAGTGCCGGGTGTGCTTAGGAGGAAACATCACGCTTTGGCTAGAAATGCAGAAGCTGCATGGTATTGAAAGAGTTTAGGAAGCTCCACCTGGAAACAGAGACACAGATTTTAGGGAGGGGTAGGCTGGACAAGAGCGCCATTGTTGGAACTTATGATGCAAGGGGCTGGGAGGGAACGAGAGAGAAGGAATAAGTGGCATGGATAGTTACAAAGTCAGCAATCCCAAGGCTGGGGGCGAATGAGAGACAACATAAGCGGGAGTAGTTAAAAAAGGTGCTAAAAAAAAAGCAAACTATAAATTTAACTGAGATGGGTATTCTCAGACTCAAGAGTAAAATCCGAAGTTCCCGATTTGAAGTGTTACAAAATCCATGAATGCAAGTGAACAGAAAACTCCTCAGAGATAGAGTACCACATCAGAATGAACAGACTCGCTACAAGAAGTCACCAAACTGGGAGCCAGAATGCAGGTGGCTCTTTGAAAAGTATTGCACAGAAAGAGGAGAACGAGAATAGCAATCTTGCTCTTCTATGCAGACACGCACAAAAAGCTGTTTTCCTCCTACACGAAAAAAAACACGACTTGCACAGCGGCCTATGACAACAGCTGTTTTTACCTCGCACAGTAAGTTACCTTTTTTTGCAGCACTCACTGAACAAGTCACTTCCGGGGAATGCGTGATCCCAAAGGTACAATGTGCACGGGTCTCAAGTCACAAGAGGAACCTTGGAGGGATTCCACCTTTCTGGAGTGTAATCTTCCCCAGAGCATCCACTGGGGCAGGGCTGCATACCATTTGCACAATCGAGCCCTAGATTTTTTCATCATTCCAAGTATATCTCATGTTGTGTAACGAGTACTGTATCACGCTCCTGTTACAAATGACGTGAAGAACAAACATGGCTAAATTGCTACCAAACCATTTTAACTACAAGCATAACTGAAGACAAACTATGTTCAGCATAAAAATCAGAAGCGATGATTAAATTGGAACAAGCGGGGAATTTGGATGAAAAGTTTTCGTTTATTTGCAGTTAGCACACACCTTATCATCTTTCATTCACAGCGCGTGAATTCTGGTCAGGCCCGCAGCTGAGTCATCACGTGTGGGACAACTGAGCTGCTTCTCGTGCCTGACCCGGCATGAGAAAGAGATAGTGCAGTTAAGCCCTGAAGCAAAGGACATTTCACTTCAACAGGAAGTGATGAGCTTTAGACAGGTCTTCTGTCTTAAAAGTTTTTGTTTATTTGCAGTTAGCACACACCTTATCTTTCATTCACAGCGCGTGAATTCTGGTCAGGCCCGCAGCTGAGTCATCACGTGTGGGACAACTGAGCTGCTTCTCGTGCCTGACCCGGCATGAGAAAGAGATAGTGCAGTTAAGCCCTGAAGCAAAGGACATTTCACTTCAACAGGAAGTGATGAGCTTTAGACAGGTCTTCTGTCTTCATCTAATTTTCATCTTGTAAATAACCAAGCAAGACTTGAGTCTTGAGGATGAAGAAGAGGGAGGAAAGGAGGAGAAAAGAGCAAAGCCACAATCCTCTTGTAGTCCTCCAAAACGGTACAAGAGGAGGAGGATATCCTGATCTGCGAGGGGACGCAGAATTTTACGGAGGCTTTTAGTAAGTTGCGTTGTTTGGTTCTGTTTTTTTAAATTCATTTATATTTCCATTTGCCCGTAAACAGAAAAGAGAGGTTGCTCAGAAGCTGAGTTCTGCTTGTTTCTTTGTTCTAGACTAGTCGAACTGCAAGTATTTCACTCTGCGTTGCCTTAACAATATAGATGCTGATCTTTCAGACCCCTTCCTCTAGGCAATTACCATTCTCCTCCTCTTTACATGATAATTGTAAAAGAAAAAAATAAAATAAAAATTCCTCCATTAGTTACCTATGTTACCAAAACTACCAGTTCATTTGCCAAGGCTGCCCTTAATTCTAGCAGCAAGGGAATAATACCATTGTTTCATGAATGCAGCCTCCAGCTGATTTAAAGAAACCCTCCTGTCAGAATTTAAATGACTCATGATTTTTGCACTGCACAGAGAATGTTTTAATTTACATAATTATACCTGTATAAACTATGCACTGACTGGTTCCCAATCTTGAGTTCACTCCAAAGTCTCCCTAAGGGAAAGGTGTCACATGTGACGAGAAACAGTTTATGAGTCTGCAAACGTGAAGGGCGAGAACAAAGAGCCAAATCACTTGCCCTTCTTATGACAAGAAATCCTACTTACTGCAACACCCCCAGCAAGCACGAGCACCAATTACTTGCTGAAACGTGAAACAGCTAGTAGCATCACCAACACAGACACCAAAGTCTACTTTTTAGGTTTTAAACGCTGCGATTGGAGCATTAGCAACAACTAGTATTACCTGCAGCTACTATCACAATGTCAGCGAGTTGCGTATGGACCTTGAGCTGCTCTTTTGGTGTGTATCTGTGAGTAATGGTCACTGTAGCATCACCTGAAACATAAGAGATGATCAATTAATTGTCACACATACAATGCCCGTACAGCATTTACTTTCAGGCGCAAATGACTTGGTTTGGTACATTAACAACAGTACAGATGATCATGAGATTTGTGTTGCGGTGCAGCCAACATGCATTTTTTTCAGCATAGGCACAAATCTCACATCACTTGCTGTTCACACTTCTGAAAAAAACATTTATTCTTAAAAAATTCTCACAGGATGAATTCATTAATACATTGTGGACTGACTTAGTCCTTCATCAGTTTCATTACGTTTAGTGGAATTACACAGAGCACACCCAGCACCGAATTTGGCGTCTACCTTATTAAGCACAATTTGTATAGTGTGCGATAAGACTCAGCTGTCTGTCACAAACCGAAGCTTCAAGTACAAGATCACCACGTTCGGATCTCTGTCCTCAACCAGACCTGTCCTGAAGCTCCCTAGATGCTTCCCATGACTTTCTGTTGTATAGACAGGAAGGAAGACCGCAGTCTTCCCTGTACCCGTGACCTAACTTCACAACAGCCTTTCCCTCGAGTCAACGTTTAGTCTTTGCCCCGTGTTTTTGACAGATTTTGAGTGCTCAAGGAATATAAACGGTAATTCAAGTTCAGTGAAGTGGCACTGCGTATTACTGATATTACCTCTCTCTAGAATTAACACGGCTGATTATCTGGCCAGCAACAGGAGATGACAACTGAGGCTCTTCTCTTTGTAAGCTCTGACTGCATGGGGAATGACTCCAGTAGCTAGGACGCTCCCGGGCCAAGGGTCTTTGCTCAGAAATCCTGCAGACCAGTAACTGCACGCAAGGGTCAGACAACAAAATCCCTCTCTCGACTGCAACGCTACTAGATTTCATCACGGAGAGGCATTCTTGAACCCAATCAACAGAAGCATCAGTATTTACAAAATCCCAATTGGATGGGGCCAAGGCGGTTTATCACCACAATCACTTAAGGAATCAATACATCCAGTGCGTATATTTTTTTTCACACAATTACAGCATTTCAAGTCATTATTTTATGTAGCTCGAGTGCCACAACAGGAATGGAAAAGACTGGATTTTTGCAGATGTCCTACAAACTCTTGTGCGTCCCAATAAAACAAAAACAGCTGAACCCTTACTTCACACCAGAGCAGGAAGCGTTTCAATTTATGTCAAATAGAAGCACATATTCTTTTGGGCAAACTCATAAGATATGGGGCCCGCTCTTGCACATACCCACGTTTTTTGGCAAGAAGGTACAATAAACCCTCCTTGTAAGACATGAAAAACCTCGTGCTGTTAGATGGAGATACTGAGGAGACACCACCGCACACAAAAATTGTCATGGGGATAGGGACCGCAGTCTCTCCTGCATCCAACAGCATGGGTGGCAATCCCTCAAGGACTGCCACAGAAAACAACAAAGATAACTATCAATCAGAGGCCTCCCAACACTCTCCCTGTCAACTACTTCTACCGCAAAGCGTTCAGGTGTTACATCCCCCATCTCCACCTTCTGCTCATCATAGACTCCTAAGCCACATTATTAACCATTCAATAACAGTTTTTGCCATTTCAGACGTTACCACCACATCTGCTTCCTCTGGAATGTGTCTGACTGATCTAATCTGTGCCTCTCATCTCATTAACTCGCTTCCTCACGCATCTCATCTTCAACCTGTCTGTGCTCGGACTTCTCTGCTCTTTCCCCTCATCTTTGATTCCTCCTCTCCTTCAGTCTCTACAGTTATATCGTCTCCTCAAAGAGAAGTATATCAAGATATTTTCAGATAATGAGAACAGAAAAGTACACATGCATAAGCAATTCCATGAAATAAGGGGAATTGCCAGAAATTATAAATCTCTCACCGACATTCTATAACTTCCCATGAATCAAAGTCCATCGAGAGCTTAGACAGCTAATCATCTTAAAAAAAATCTCTGCAATAACCCTTCCTATGATAGCAACATCCCAGGCGGTACACAAAGCCTGCATGTCAAGATTTCTTCCCTGAATACCTTTGGGATCATGAAATAAAAACTATCACAGACAAAACAACTGGAACAGAACTGAACTATTACTCCTTAATACCCCTCATTTTGCTAAAATAAAGCAGCATGTCTCCAGCTGCCGATTCGTTTTTATGTAGGCCACGCACATACTCTTCTGAGTGAGCTGCATCCAGGCTGTATAGAGGGTCCAAGTTGTCCTTCTTCGGAGGCCTCATTCTCCAAACATACTAATAACACATCACTTTGTCCCCTGCAGAAGAACCATGACTATTCTTCGAGGTGACACACTCTCCTTTTCTTGGCTAATGCTCTGTCGATCACACTGAAACTCAGGGATTCTCTGAAGTGCCGTCCATCACGTACGAAAGGCAAACAGCCTTATCAATGGATTCTGGAAAGAATGGCTTGAATAAAATAGACGAATCTTCTGATGCCTATTTTAAGCAGATGATGGATGTCTTGCCCAAAATCCCAATCCTTACTTCCAAAAATATATACGTATATGTAATGAAATTCTTTCCATCTCTTATCTTGTACTCAGCAGAGCGGCTGAGAAAAAAACGACAGATAAAATCTAAAGTTACAAATATTCACACCTTCTGAGAAATAAAATCAGTGCTATTTTCCCAGCAAGATTTTAGTGACGAACTTGTCTGTAGTCAGCTCCTGAAACCAAGTAATCGCTCCCGCTACCAAAAAGGAAAGGAAGAAAAAAAAAAAAAAAAAAAAAAAAGCCCCTACCCTCAAAATAGCAGTCCAGAAGCTCACAGACACCTCAGAAAGGGTAGGTTTTCCATTTATTTGGGATCATGCCAAAACAGAAAAGAAACAACTATTTTTACACTGCTACTTCTGCTGAAAGAAGAGGAATATATTTAGCAATTAAGATTCCACATGATACTGCTCAGTCAATTCACTAGCTTATAAAATAGAGACAGTCTCTTGACCTGCCTACACAAAACACAATTTGTTTTGTAAGGGTTCAGATAGTTTTCCCATCTGATCAGATATTGCCACCTGCAGGACACGACCATTTCTACATACAAAACATCACAGGTGAAAACAGACCCCAGCTTTTCAGTTTTGTTCATCATCTGTAAAAAAACCCACAACTGAAACCTACAACAAAACCAAACAAAAAAAGTAGTATCACAAACAGACCTTGCATTTCTTCTTAATAAAATGTATCTAACCAAGTGAGCCCAATTGCTGATAAAACTCTATCCCAGCTGATAACCTCAGAAAAAAAGTCTGTTTCAGCACTTAACTGTAAGTCTTTTCTGGTCCCCAATCCCCTGTATTAAAAAAAAAGAAAAAAAGAAAAAAAAAGAAAAAAATCCCCAAACCCCCAAAAAAGCGCCCACCTTCCACTTCATTTCTACTAACAGGTTAAAATTTTTCTAAGCACGTGCTTAAGAAGAAAGCCCGCCTTTGGTAAAAATTAGCAACTCCAACACGTAATTTTCAACTCCAAAACACACTTCAGCTCCAAGCTTAACACACTTGCTAAAGCTACCTCATCTTGTATGCCGACAGGTATCTGTGACCATAATGCACAAATTTTGCCCTGGCATTATTCACTAAGGAAACGGGCGGACAAGATTATTCCGTCAATGCTATTTTTTTTATTACGTTCACATTTCCAATCTTTCCTTTAGCTCCACCTCCTCGATGTCATTATACTTCAGCTTTATGCCTTCTCTTTCACTGTTTATCTCTGTTTTGTCTCAACTACCTTCAGTCTCTTCTCTGTCACGATACATCCAGAAATTCTGACAGCCCTTGAGGTAGAGCAGAAACCGCCGTCAAGCCTGCCTTCCCTTCCACACGTCGTCCGGGCTAGCCTCTCGTTGCATAGAGCAGAAGCAGAGAAGAAAGCTAACCGCCAAAGACCAACCAGATCTTCAAGGACAGCCTGAGCTGTGAGTCGGGAATGAAAACTACACTAAACTACCCCAACTACAAAAGTATTTATCACCATGTACACAAAAAATACATACTTAATGCTAATTTATTGTCAAAGAAGTACAAACGTTCCTTTGTTTTCTTGCGGCTAGCTGCTTTAAACTATATACTACCACTCTAGTGTATACTACCACTCGGCAGGTTGGAAAACAAGAAATACTACCTTAAAAATAAATCCATTTCTTCAGAATAAGCAAAGATAACTTCAATGACTTAACTCTTTCTACATCTAAATTCCACTGTCACTGTCAGTAGGGGAATATCCGAATATTCTTCTGTCCCTACATAGAATCCTTGACATACATAGCATCAATGACAACGCCAGTAAATAGGGCTGCCAGTGAAGTCATGCGTAACATGTCAGGAATCAGAACGTAGGCAGATGACCGTGAAGTACAACCAAGTTCATTCACAGGCCAAACTCATGGACAACCCCCCCAAAACAAGTCAGACTAGCAGGCAGTCACCTAAGAACTACAAACCCAGGATACAAGTAAACAAAACAGTCACGGATCCAACTAATTCACAAGCTGAAAGCTACAAAACCGTACGTACAGCTAAAAAGCATCCCTCCAACTACTATGGGTTTTGTAACAAGTTGCTGAACAATCACAGGTCACTAAGCCTCCTCCTCTCCAACCGAGAAACACGCAAGCAGTTTGCAACACAACTCTGTGTTGTATAAAGCCTATTTCAAACACCAAACTGCACGGCCAGTGACATATAAAACCCAGGATTTGCAGCAAATGGCAAAAATGCTACTCATTTTCATGGGAATGGGGATGAGACCTGAACTATGTGCTGATGGTAATTACAATTCAAACGCTGAGAGAAGTTTCAAATAGCAACTTTCCCACAGAGGCTGAATGCAAAAACCAACTCTATGATTAGTAAGAAGCTTTTAGTGTTTTATTATATTAGTAACAGATTTCACGCCACTCCTATTAAATGTGCCTGGGATTAAACATTCATGTTTACCTCATTTGCGCACACCACCTTGGCAGTTTCTAACATCAAAATGAAGTTGCAAAAGGCCAGTATTCTATTTAAATTATATTTGTTTTTCTTTCTACGGCACAATTCCAGCAGCACATGCATGCTTCTGTAATTAGAATTAATTAAAATTATCTCCATTACAACCCCCAATTTCCAGGGGGATATAAACTGCACTGCAGAAAAATCCCCCAGGCCAACATGTAATATCACAGAGCTCACGCTGAAAAGTTACTTTGGTGGTCATTTGGATCTTTTCATTATCACCATCTCACTAACGTAGCACAACGCAGGAATCGTGTCATGTATATTTTTATATATGCATATGTGCATATCTGTATATGCGTGTACGTATATACGTACGCGTGCGCGCGCGTGTATGAAAAACTTCAAATTACTACTACGTAAGCACGAGGATAAGGCATATAGCTATATTACTTTGTATAAACACCCTATGAACCTCTGTAGCTCTTTAAGGCCACACCGTCAGGCGTCATCCTCGGCCTTCAGCGCTAAGCAGGTTCAAACAGTAGCTGTTTCCAATGGAGGACAAAATGATGACCTAACACCAGAAAAAGTCGGGTCCGGAATCTGCTCTCCTGCAAATACGTCAGGAAATGTATCAGCAAATCTATTTCCTTGCTCTGGTTGCAAATACTGTACAAGAGACAAAAGCTTTCTCTTTTTATCCGAATCCTCTGGTCAGCTTTATTTTAACCACTGCACAAATGGAAACATTCAAACAACACTGATGAACTTACCTCCAGGCCTTTCATGCTCTCCATCAGTATGTAAAAGCATTGAAATTGGCATTCCAACATTCTTAGATCTTCCAGCTACAACAACATTTTTTCCAAATGTTTGTATTCCTTATGGGGGGTGGGGGAACAAAAAGGTGAAAAAAAAAATTTGTATTCTGCTATTTTCATATACCTAAACCCTTATTCTCAACCCCCAAGATATAATTCACTGTTGTGGAATGCTGACAACAACATGACTTGAAAATCCACAAGGCTGAACTTGAGGGATGAATCCACAAAACAACTTCCAATTTTCACCTTAGAGAAACCAAACTAGCAACTCGTTCCAGTTATCTGAATCACCCTTCGGAGGGACTGAATTTCTCTTCTCTGAGAAATGGAAGCTCTTATGTCTACCAATAAGAACATGTACATTATATTTATAAAATGAAAACTATTGAATACATATGCATTCTTTTCCCCTTCTAGTACTGAATTAAATGATCCCATTTTTGTCCTTCTTTCTTCCTCATGCCCCACAAGAACCTACGCATTCAAATCTTCTATTTGATAAATAATCAGGAGGTCAGCAGTATCACAGAAAGGTCCTTGCAACATGATAAAAGGCAGAAAATAAGTTACCAAAGTGTTTCACCAAGTATTCTATGCAGACTACTGTCTACAGTTAATTAATAATTATGCTACTGGCAAAAGATCTCATCTATTTGGCACCTCCTTATTATTTAGATTAATCCTCTAAATGTTTGTTCTTCAATCAGCCCAATACATTTAGATAACCTACACCTTTTAACTCACACCTGACTTGATCGTTCCTTCATCTTCCGAGATAAAGAGAGTTTCAATACAGTTCAGTTTCTTACCTGTTCGTTTTATGATTTCCCACACGGCAGCAGCAGTGGCAGGTATTATAGAAGGTTGATCAAGACACAGACGTCCGATATTCATAACATGAAATCCATCCACATCCTTTTCAGGTGCGATAGCGTTACAAACTGTTCGTTCATCTATGTGATCTAGGAAAAACATTGCTTTCACGTTACAGTTCTTGCACTTGTCAGGTCTCATCAATACTATCTGATTTATTACAGAGAAACACACAAGTTGGGTCTAGCTAGGGTTATTATTCATTATGAATCAACTACACTCCCCCTCTAAAGGCAGCAGTTACAACTTCAGCTTTTCAAGTCATCTACTGACAATTAAATGATTCAGTTTGTGACACTGCTAATACAACAGATTCAATCAAAATAGGAGAGGCCGACAGTCAGCTGAGAATGACCACCTAGTAACTATAAAAATAAATGTTTAAGCAGGACATTTGAGAGTGACTTCTGCATTCTACGGTTAATGTGCACGTTACCCGTCTCTAAGATCACAAAGGATACACGACCTCAGTTTTAAAAAAATGTACAGAAACCCTAAGCTGAAATAGCTTTGCAGGCCTAGCTTTCATTTTCCATTTTACAACAAAACAACTGGTTTTAGCGATTTGCTAATCAGCAGGACCGAAACATATCCTCCTTCACTGGAAAACTGTGAGAACACATCACATTGTTTGATACTGATGAGCTTGAAACGCTAAGTAAGGCTTAAATTACGATACCTACACATAATTTATGACTCATATCTATTTGCACAGAGCATCTGTCATACGCATATTGACACTGGATGGGTCTGCAACTATTTAATGCTTATACCGCATAAACATTGGCACCGATTATGAGAAAAAATACGCGTTAGCCAGTCTCACCTCTGCAAAACTACAAACCCAAGTATAAAGCTTGCAAACGTAAAGACACTCCAGGGGAACAGCTCTACAAAATGTTCCCATACTGACCCAGAAAGCAAACTTTGTTTAATAAATGCATTTACCCAGGGGTACCTCAGTCACAAGTTCACAATCAAAGAATAGTTTGGGTCCGAAGGGACCTTTACAGGGCATCTAGTCCAACCCCCCTGCAACGAGCAAGGACATTTTAGTCTATCGCTTCATTGCTTAATGAAGTCCCAAACTCCTTCCAGGATTATACTTCCAGCTTTACTTCCATCTCAGAAGGATTATTTTTTCTATCTTTCATATAACAAAACCTCACCCATTCGAGGCTAGATCCCTAACACAACTCTGCTATTTAACAGTTGGGCTTGATGGTCTTAAAGGTCTTTGCCCATCAAAACGATTCTATGATTGTGAGGCGACGTATCCCAAAGTCCAATTCAGGAAGCGTAACAGGATGTTTAAAAAAGCCAAATCAAAGGAAATGAGTGTTCATTACAAGATTCGTAAGTTCCCGGTAAAATTATTTTATAGACGTATATAGGATGTTTGAATTCAGTAGTCAACTAGCTTTATGTAGGTATTCTGTGATTTTGCATTAAAACGAGCTAGCTAATTAAAAGATATCATCCATGTTATAGAACTTTAAACGTGATAATCTCTTGTTAAAAGATTTCCAATAGAAAAACACCCTCGAATTAAACCAGACTACTATGATTTACAATTTAATTCTCTATTGTCCGATGGGAGGAAGTTTACTTCTGAATCCGAATCAGAAAAGCCTGTGGAAATTAAGATGTTAAGTACATCGATTAAAGAGTCTCTTACAAGTCAAACTAGCCTAGTCCAGATTGAAGGCAACCATAACCTTGTTTTTGTGTCAGCTTGGGGAATTTTTAAAAAAAAAAAAACCCAACAAACCACAAACCACAAAGAAAGAAAGAAATTTGGAGTAACCTATAAACAGTTTTCGCAAAAGACGACTCGTTAACCTTAGGCAAGTTAGCTGTTCAGCAAACAAAAACCTGGCAGGCACGCTTCTCCTTGCGCCCGGGATAGGACAGAACGCTGCTCTGACAAATGCCTCCTCATGGCTGTCTGTCTTCTGCTTCCCAAAAAGAGACAAATAATAGGTACCTCCACAAAAAAGGGAAAGAAATCATGCTTTACAGGGATTTTTTTTTCCACCCCCACTCAAAACTGATTTGCACAATTTCAGAAGAGGGCACATGGCACCGGAAGAAATGCAGCTGCGTAGCTGGGGACAAGTAGGCTGACACGGGCCTGAGAAGAGAGGATGCGGACACCTTCCCTTGCTCAGAGACACTTCTGAAACACTATCTTGGGCAGGCCATCTCCAAACAAACCAAACAACCCAATTCAAGCTGTATAGACAGTTACTATGTTACTTAATGAGAAAATTCCATTAGCCTCAAGAAATCTATTTTCCTGGTTAGTTGACTGAAGAGAGCCTCAGTTATTTCCAGAGGAACAAAACAATTTCCTAAGCACGTTCCTTTCAGTCTTACTGACAGTCATACACACTACTCACCAAGCCAAGTTCCTCTCTGCACTCACCCTTTCACTTGCTCATCAAACTCGCGAGGTGACACCAGGCATCGCTTGCCTAGCTACCTTGACATGCACAGAGAGAAACTCTTATTCGCACAATGAACAACGTGTACCTCTAATGCTGACACACAAAAAAATCAAGACTGGTTTTCAAAAGGGAACACCGATAAAAATTAAAACGTAGCAAAAAAGGGATTCGAAAACGATCAAGAAGTACAAACGTGGAGCAGGAAGGAAGCTGTTGAGCAGCAGCAGCAATGAGCGCCCTGGAAATAATTTTGAGAAGCTATAGCGAGACGCTGCTATGATCTCAACAGTCAGTTCCACCAAAACAGACTGCGCTGGCACAGTCTGCCACAACAGAGGGATATCATGTTTGCACTCTTTTGTCTCATACTTCTCTGCTGTTTACAACTAAGCAAATTGTGAGATATTCATATTCTATCTCAACTAAAGATCTAAAATTTCACAGCCATCTTCCAGGCTATTTAAAAAAGATACAGGAAACTCTCCACAAAACCATTACCACGTCACAAGTAACGCCCTCAAAAGGTGCACAGAAAGGAAGTTTTCCTCAAGCAAAGATGACAATGCTCAAAGTTAAGTTGCTCCAGCTCACAAAAGTGAAAGAGAACAAACATATTTTCTGCTTCTATTTTTATCCCAATGTGAAATGGCTTAACCATTTAAGTGTACTAGCATCAGAGGTTACAACTGATGCAACTAGAATTATCTTCAGGGTTTCTTTTCTTTTTTCAAACGTTGAACAGGTTTAAATTCACTAAGTTTCAAGACTTAAGTCTGTTGTTGAACCATGTATCGATGAAGGCAGACGGCTCAAGAGCAGACTATAATGACCCGATATCTTCCTCAAAAAACTGCATTTCTCCAAGCGGTACCTAACAATTTTATCGAGTATCCACACAAGTAAGTCAAGTGACGCATGACACCTCCTATTTCTGTGGAGCACAACAGCGGATTGGGAGTCCAGGGGATGAGTGTTTCCCTTGCTACATGCTTCAGACAAAGCCTTCCATCCCTAGGCTGTCAGTGCTCCATCTTTTGCACAAGTTCTCACTACTGAAATGAAAATTTAGTACATTACCTGTTTTCCCTAGTCCGTTCTTAGTGGGACAGAGGTATGTTTAAAGGAAACCAACCACGTTCCATCAGCTCCCAGAGCCCCTCACTAGGTGTCCAATTTGTTGTCTCCTTACTTGTGTTATACTCCCACCTTGTGGCCAATTTATTTCAACTGGCTTTTTCATCTAATTCATCTAATACGAAGCACAAAACTTCCTCATCACAAACACTGATGCTCATTACAAATCTAATAAAGCATCTCTTCCTCTGTAACACTCAGCACCTGGCCCAATTTTTGCTGTTGCATAGATATGAACTTAAATAAAGGCAGCAAGAACTATCTGAAAGGAAAAAACCAAGACTAGGAATAAGAGCGGAAATGAAGAGCTTACCTAGCAACAAAGCTGCAACTTCACCATTATGAGAGATACTAATAAACAGTAACCCCTAGAATCCCAGCTAGTGCTAGAAATCATGCCTATACATGCCAACGAGACAGCTCCTGCCCTTCAGAGCATACGGTACAAACCTATGATAAAAGACAACACTTGGGAACACAGAGACAGGACAAATGCAGTATGCCAGGCCGTTTATTACAACGGCTCTACGCATCCAGGCGCCTCCCCGTTAGGAAGCATACAGCGGCTTATCTAACTTGACTTAGGTAGATTTAGATGAAAACTGCAAGTTTTATCACTGCCAAAAAAACATGTTGCCAAGTGATATTTTAGTGAGATTTTATTACAAACTAGGAGAAGGGAAATAAAACCCAAGAATATAGTAGAAGCTTTTAGAACCTTAGCACAAAGCTCACCTGGAACATTAGGGACAGCATAGAAAACAAACAAATGTTTAAGGCAAAACCTGAAATCACTGTGAGAAAGGCCGTAGCACCATCTGCTAGATAGCGTAACTTGGCACGATACGGGGGATGAATTTATGGCAAAGGTCTTGGAGATCAAGGCAAAACAGGGCAGTATGTTAAAAACAAAACAAAACAAAAAAAAGAGAAAGAGACTGGAAAAAGTGTGAGTATGGAGGGAAATTCCTTGAAATAGCCTTCTGACTGAACTTTAAAAAATGGCAAGATTGACAATATGAAATGATTCTTACCATTTCATTTGCTTTTTTGTTTGAAATGAACTGCAGGGTAGTATACAACAAAAAAATTAACATCTCACCTAATCCTTCATTATGCGTGTCACTAAGACACACTTGCAATCCAAAATTGTCAGACTCTTTCGTCTTATGTTGACTGTATATGAAGAGTGGGACAAAAGATGTCACCCACCTGGGAGAGGTAGCTGAACTAATAAACCACTAACAGTTGAATCCTTGTTGAGTTTTACCGTCATATCCAAGAGTTCTTCCTGAGAAACTTCTTTAGGCCTCAGTATGATCTCACTAGAAATGCCTGATAAAAACCAAAAACAGAAGACACGTATTAGTATCAGGAAATTTATCTATGGACAGCTTAGTATTTTGTCTAAAAATCCACCCTATTTTTAACAACTGTCTTAAATAACCATGAAAGACCTGCTAAGAATTCTACTTTTGCTGCCTGGTCTTTCATGCTCTATTTCTAGATGTCAAGTACAATCTTACAATGAAACATACAAGGAAAAAACCCAAACAAACAAACAAATCTATAGTAGTACCTAAATTAAACAACAGTTTAGAAATATTTGGAAAATAAAGCATGTAATTCTCAAGAGCACATTTGTAGAAAAGTTACATCTAAAACTAAACAGATAAAGCTACATTAGCATTACTGGCATTTTATCTGATATCTTTTCTGCTTCTGCGGGACAAAACTCATTATTAAAAGAAAATTTTTCAAGTTACTTCACAAGATTGCAGTTTCACTGACAGCAACAATGCTCAAGTTCCCTGTTGAGACTGTGATACTCTTTCATTTGGAGATGAGATGTAGTAGTGACTGGGCTTTAGCCCAGGTAATCGCTCACTTAGCTTTACTGTTTGATTTCATTATGTCTGAAATCTTGCCCTTCATATTCAGAGCCGTGAAGCCCTGGTTTTGGATTGGCTTGCCTGGCCCTACTGTGGACCTAGAGCATTCAACTGGACAGATGTTCCGTGACATGCAGCAGATACACAGCAAGATTGATGTTATGAAGAAATCACTGACATTATGAAGCAAAAGGCTCTTGGCAGTATCTTCCTGTAGACCTGGTTACTTAATCACTGTTCCCATCAACTCCGAGGTATAGGGTTTGCTACCACGGTTGGAGGTGGGCTGAAAAATCCATGTATAAAAAGAACAATCTAACAAGTACTGAGGAGACAAGCTCTTAAGCAACTATTTCACATTCAAAAACAATCATAGTGTCTTGCAAAAACAACTACAAACTGACATAATTTCTCTCTGATTATCTTTATTCACCAAGCTCCTCAAAGCCAGTTAAGACATTTAACGCTCAAAAAAACTTCCCCAGCCTTCTCCTTTAGTTTCCAATTTCTTACGATAAGGGTGCAAACTGTTTCCTAACAACATTTTAAGATACAGAATTGAACTTAGGGCTGTCATTCATGTGCCATTAAAACTACCTTCATCACATGTCAATGCAACTTCTTTTCTTTTGGTTCATCAGAGAAGATGAGGAAGAAAACAGTTCAAAATTCAATTAAGATACAAAGGGGTTTCCCCCTTGCTTTTTTTTATTTTTAAGTAACAGTATCTGGTGCTTACCAAAAGATCATTTACATTACATAACACATACCTACAGCTGCAGCTGCTTTTATCTTGTTTCTGACATAGATATGACTAGCTGGATTGTCTCCTACTAATATGACAGTGAGATGAGGTCTCTTGTTTCCAAAGGATATCCACGATTCTACATCCCTTTGAACTTCTTTCAAAACTTGTTTAGCAAGCTTTGTTCCTGAGATAATGGTTGCTTCATCACTATAAAGACAAAAAGATAGAAAATATTTAGGTCAAAAGTGTCTTGTTTATGAAATTTTCAAGTGTGCCATCTACCACATTAAATACTTGCAAATGCTTTGATTAGTTAATTTGCCAGTATTTCAAACATGCTTTGAAACAAACTAACGCACTACAAATCCACCTGGGGAAAGCAGTGTTTCCCCACTCTTGTTTGAAGAGCGGCAATGTGCCATCAGTGCATGCAGAAGAATAGCTCAACCGCCACACCCCACCTTCCCAGCACACGTAGCCAGCCAGGTTGAACACATCTATCAACTCCTGCCTTTGGGAACAGAACATGAGAACGTTCTTACGCCATTAAGTTTTTTTGGTGTAAGGAATTTTTAACCCACCTCCCTTCCAAATTTCCTTAAAAAAAAATAAATCTAACATGGGATTATTCACACTATTGTTTGGTGCATACCTAGATGATACTATTTCTAAATTTTCTTAGGACTTAGCTGATACAAGCCAGCGGTGACTAACTCGGGAGCTTCTGTCATACCCGCCCCACTTTTGTCCTTTCAATTCCCCTTCCCTCCAGTAACCTCCCTCTGCGCGCTCCCCGCCCCCCCAGCACTACAGCAGACGAACATCCTCCCTGGGTGCAGGGCCAACAACCATCACCCAACCCATGTAGAAAAGCAGAAGAAAACGGAAAAAGTCTTGTGCCTTGAGCTTCTCCTCAGCCCCCCTCTTTACCTCTACCATTGCTGTGATCGTGACCACAACCAAGGACGTGGAACACCCCCCCCACACACACACACCAACCTGTAACAAACAAGACATCTCCAGCACGCATAACTTTCAGATGCTACGACATTAATTCCTTTTGTATCGGATAAGCAGCCTTTCAATATTAACTTTATTGCTTAGTGGTGGTGGTGCTTAGAGGGTAGAAAGCAAGAAGAGACAGAAAGCTATAGAGCAAGAAACTTTATTGCTGATCTGGTTTAAAATATGGTATTCTCTAAGATTCAAACCCATCACTTGAAGCAGCCAAAAAGAGTATGCTGCATTTTACATAATTCAGCAATTTGCAGAGTTTCAATCATTCTCAGTAAATCTTCACGACCAAAGAAGCTAAGCGCACAAAGGTGCGGAAGAAGGAAGGTGAGGGGGAGCAGCGGTGGAGGCGGCACCACAGAGGACAAGACAATCACAAGACCACCCAAAATCACAGACTAGCTATGGTCTTATATAAAGAAATCATCCAAACTTAACCTCTATATCTGACTGACAGATGAAGAAATCCAGTCTACCTGAAAATATTTTTTTCTGGATTGGAAGTTAATAGAATTATATAAGTCTCTAATTACTACTGCTGCTCAACCCCTTCAAATAAATGAACAACTTGTAAGCAGTAACGTGAAAACCCCAAAAATGTATTTTAAAATAAACTTTACTTCAAATGGCATATGAGCCAAACCTTAATGATGCTCCAGAGACACCGCAGAATGGAACGAAAGTCGAATTTCTTACTTAATCTTACAAGCCCTACCCTCACCCTCAAATGACACTTTGGTGACAATAATATTACGACTTACCCTTGGGTAAAGCTCTTAATGTCTTCTATCAACTTCCCATGCTCACCTCACCAACTAACTGCTCAAAGATCAAGTGCACCTCGACTGAACAGCACTTCCTTCAGTACTATTTCATTCAGACCTTCCAAGTGTCAGCGTTATCTTACCTGGGTTGTTCTCCTGGTCTCCAGAGTCTTCTCCATCTTCCTGCCCGTCTGCTCGCTGTGAGCAAGCATAGGTGCTCCTCACCTCATACATGTCCATGGGACATATTCCACCTCAGTTCCAGCTTTTATCTACACTGTCTCCTTCACTAATCAAACCTCTCATCTTCTCAAAGAAACTCCAAGAATCTTAACATGATACATACATACAGTTAACAGTGTTTCTTGGCACAATCATCTGAAACTACTACAAGAAAGTAAATACTATTCTGTCTGTAAAAACGCAGTAAAATAACACCAACTCCCCAGAAGCAGAACTACTAAGACAGACACAAAGTTAAAGTTACGAATGGACAAGTTCACTCCTCTCCTAACAAGCACAACTGTGCAGCAGCACTGCAAGAAAAGCCACCCTCCTGGTTCATCAGCTCCTAATCAAAGACCGTTGATGGATTACTTGATCTTACTTACTAGAAAGTAAGCCTGAGTAAGACAGAGTTTCCCCTCTGCAAACATCCTTTGCTTCCTTCTTTGAGATGAAGAGTTTTACATGTATACACACACGCACACACAGATATCGTAACCCCTGCTTTGAATTGAATAAATTAATTCAAAGTGACTACCCTTTGTAGCTGACATAGTTTAGCAAGGACTTGAGATGAGTTATAATGACAACAACACGGTATCATTATAACTTCAAAAAAAGAAAAAAATCACATTGCTTAATATTTAAAAAGAAAAACACACTCTACTGAGAACAACCTATCTGACTGTTTGTCAGGAAAGCAAAGCATTAGAAACATACTTAGCGCACAAAAACCGCAAATACCTTGTTTCTTTGAATTTTACACCAGCCTTAGCTACTTCTCAAACACAAGGTTCTGCACTGTTGAACTTCGAGAGATAGATAAATAGATAGATAGATAGATAGATACATATAAAGAAAAATAATTAAGCCAACAGATGTGGTTTAATTCTTTTCCGGTATGGCCTGCTCTCTACATGCTCATTTTCATAGATGTCTCTCATCTTCATTATTTATGTTTTAGCTATACATGCCTTTGGCACAAGACATTTCTTTCAATGTACTCATTATGCCAAATAAATAATTAATGCTCACCTGTGTAGCAATGCCATATATGTTTTAGATTACAAGGATTTAACAATGTTTTGGCGCCCAAAAAAAATTTCAATCCGTGTGTATCGCATTTCTATGCTATTTTTACTGTAAAAGCATTGCCAAAGGATCAGTTTTCCTAATCTTGAAGCACACAATTTTAAGTGTTTGCCTCTTCCTTAAAATCTACAAGTTCTACAAGCCTTGGCAAAAGTCAATTGTAAAAGACAAAAACTTGCCTGAAAACCAAAGTGTTTCAAGTTAAGATTACTCTCAAAAATTAATACTCTGGGGCAGCCCAGATATAGAAGATCAAAATTTTCACATATGCAGAAGGAAACAAGTACAACTATACCTTCGCAAGGACTTATGGAATGGCCCTGCTGTAAAAGAGCTACCCTCTCTTGGCATTCCGACAGGTGAATGGATACTTGGAGGAAGTTAAGAAAGGTCTCAAAGAGTAGCTCTACTTTTCATATTCATAACTTCAAGGTGCTGGCAGGGAGATGGTAAATACCATGTACATTTATGGCAAATGTTTATGAAAGTAACTTCAGGTCTCAAGAAGAATCTCAACAAAGACAAAGTACAGGGAAAAGAAATCTTCAGATAAACCTTTCAGTCTTTGCTTTGGAGACTGACCATGAACCACAGAGCAACTGAAATTACCAAATAATGGGAAAATGGTGTGTAAAGGGTCAGCTTTGTACCTTACAGAGTTACAGATAAAGAGCCCATCAAGTTATAGATGCACTCTTCTCTCCTAAGGCGGCAAAGAACAGCAAATCTTGTGGCTTTTTCCACCCCCCACACGCTAAATTTTACTCTTTGTTGAAGGCCAGAAAGCTTCCCCTCCACCCCCATCATCTGCTCACAGCTGATGATCGTACACCAATCCTGAGCCACATGAGTTCAGCCACCCATAGTTTACCAACATCGGTACTATGCCACTAACGCAAATCTTTTTTGGAATACAACTAACAGTTTTTATAAAGGTTCAGAAACCAAGTGCCCCAGCTGTCACAAGCCCCAAGCTATTAAAAGCATGCCACACATCCACAAGGTAAACTAGCTAACTAGTTAAAGTCTTTCAATGGAAATATTACACAAGAACTACATGAAAAAGTAAAGCATCAGCTGTACAGGAAGGTTACACTGCAGCAAGCTATTCAAGACATTGAAATTAATAAGTTAATTATTAATTTAAATTGTGTGTACATTACAAACTTGACCAGGTGTAATGACATATTTAATACGTGTTACTACGCCATCCTGTCCCACTGTCATCCTACCCGCTCATGGATGCTCTTATTCTGAACCCTGTGTGAGTTTACAACAGAACAATTCACATACTCAATCTTCCTTATTAGTGCATCCAGTGACTTGCAGGACATGACAGAAACAAAGATGTCAGCTGCTATTTTAGATCAACCTATACACTAAAAGCCCCAAAGCACATGGGGCATCACAACATGATCTTAGTCTCATACATACCGCACGAAAACCTCTGTAAAATCATTGTAACAGGAGCACCTACTTTTTGCAGAACTGGCAGAACAGTTACTAGCAGCAAAGAACAGAAGCAGTCATGCACTGTGCAAGGAATACAGCTATTTGTGCCAAAACCAGCAGAACTGAATGCTCTGTTGCACAGGATATACAGAATATCTAGAAAATCAGACCCTTATTTCAACTGTCACAGTACAGCTTACTAATCTTTTCACATTTAAAAACACAAAGCAAAGGGGTTTTGCTTTCACTGTAGGCTACCTGTGACCCGCCAAACTCAGCAAACCTTCAGGTCAGTATTCAAGCCAACTCCAGTATAAACGAAAAGGCTGTCGAGCAAGAGCTGAGTTGAAACCCTCCAATCCACACCCAGACAAGCGCTTGTAGCTGCCGTGCCGCAATACCAACATGAGAGGCTCAGTCCAGCCAGCGCATTAGATGAAACACATGGATTAACGACATCAAGAGACGGGCCCTCGGTGTGTTAGAACGTGTCCTGCTCGCCCTGGCATCCAGGCTTTCAGCAAACACCGGCAGACCTCTGCTCGCTGCAGTGCTACGTGAGACACACTGTGACCGTGGGGTTCAACTTATTTATTTAAATGATTACGAGTTTAGTTTCTTTTTCTTTTAAATTTTTTATTTATTTTGTCAAGAACAAAATTGCTGAGGACACCAGGATGCAATGGGATGGCCTGTCACCGTCACATGCCCCTTCATACAGGCAGCATACATCAGCAAAAATAATCATAGATGCCAAAAAATTTGTACATATACTAATTCTGTGCAAATCAAATGAGAGTCTCTTTTAGGTACCAGACACAACCAAACGTTTAATAGCCAGATTCCCCTCGGGGAGGAGACAGGAAGGCCCATCCATCGCCAGGGCTCCCCCATTTCAGTGCACCGTTTAAATCCTCGCTCG